ACCGTTTATTCACAACCCACGTATAAATAACAACACCGATCAGCGGTCCTTCATCACGTGCGCAGTGCGCGTCAACACGCACGGCAGCACGCACCCAGTGTAATATCCCGAGATATTATCAGTATAAATTACGTTTAATTCCGATATAGTAACGTTATCGTTTATTATTTTCGGAATTAATTAAGTTCAGTCGGGATTACCGAAATGTATTTTCGGCGTACCGTTTACGTCCGAAATAATTTTGGTAATTAAGTATTATGTTTAATTTAACAATTAAACATCAATTGAGTGATTAATTGGGATTAATCACATAACTAAGCCCTAAAGACGTAGCAATATTAAGCATATTCCCTAATTTTTTTTCTAATAGCCGTAAGTTTCCTTGGGAGAAAGAAAGTGATTTCATCCAATCACATTGAGCAACTTGTCAAGAAATTAAGATGATTAGTCATCATATGAGGCTTAAGAAGAGAACAAGTGTTAAGAGGAGAGTTAGCCACATTTTGGAGATGTCATCTCCCATCCTCACGGCTAAGTATATAAAGGGGGACTTAGATGAAATTTTGGTCACTTTTCCTTAAAGAACTCTGAGTACTCCTTCAGCATATACATCTTCCCTTCCATCAGCAAATAGTTCAAGCCAATCTCCCTAAATTTCTTTTGTAAACGCACGGCAATTCAAGAAGCTACCGCACGGAGCTTTCGCGAGGAAGAAACACGCCTTACTTTCGATTTTCTATCGAGCGATTGAAGAGGTAATCCCTCCTTCAAGTTATATGCATGTTAATAGGATCAATTCCAAGTTAGCTGTTCGGAAAATTTTCAGAAATCATGTTAAAAACCGTACTTAAGTCCATGTATGCACAAGTAAAGTGATCACCGAACAAGTTTCTTTTCCGACCGACAACTCTCGAACAAAAATTCTTTAAATGATCAGTTTAGTTTGTTTTAAGTCCAGTATGATCAGACTGCTGTGTAAAGATGAAGAAAAGTCGATGACAAGGCCCCAGCCGATGCCCCCGCGCCTATCGCGCATAGCATCGAGTGGTTTCGGGCCGAGACTGTCACCTTCACTTTTAAGCGTGTCTGTTCGTGTGAATAGCCCTTAAATAGTTTCAATATAGTAATCATGCTGAGTAGTTCGGTAGTTGTCGGATAATATGTAAGATCGGCCGAGGGACGGCACATAGCCGTCGGCGGCGCTCGGGCGTTCGCCGCGGCCTTTGCAGGTTCAGCATGTGTTCAGTGTATTTTCAAGTCATTTTTGACAAGTTTATTCAAGTTAAGTTCAGTTAAGTTAAAATGGTCGATGTCTTTTTCAGTTCGGCCGAGAGATGACCGAAGGCCGTAGGCATCGCATATAGCGAGTGCACCACGGCCGAAGGTTCGGTTCATCAAGTCAAGTTCAGCCTTTGCATGTTAAATCCAGTTCAATATTCATTTCAGGTCATAACATGTTAGTTGAAGTCAGATTGGTCAGATAGAATTGCCGGACGGTCGGCACGGAG